TCACTATTAAATGCCCGTCACTTATAATTAATAAATGTCGATCATTTTGTACCCTTTAATTACGATTTGTCAATTAAATATATTTGTATCTCTTATAAATCAATAATTAATTTACTCCCCGTTTTTATTAAACTTTTATATTATTTTTTTAAAATTAAAATTATATATCTATCCATAATAAAATAAATCTAATGTATTATTTGATTTGTTACTAATATCTTTATTAGTTATTGCTGTTAGTTGAGATATATATAGACAAGGTTAAATTCTAAATAAGAAAAAAAAAAAAATTAAACTTTTTGAATAAATTCATCAGACTATCTATCGGAATACTTAAATTTTTCATTCACTACTACTGATCCACCTTGCGATCTTTGTTACCGAGGTTCACTATCACTGATCCACCTTGCGATTTAAATTGCCTTTAAAATTGCTAAATAAGCAAAAAAAGATTAAACTTTTTGAATAAATTCATCAGAATATCTATTGGAATACTTAAATTTTTTGTTCACTACTACTGATCCACCTTGCGATCTTTGTTACCGAGGTTCACTATTACTGATCCACCTTGTGATCTAAATTGCCTTTAAAATTGCTAAATAAGCAAAAAATGATTAAAAGTACATGAACAATACGTTTCTAATATGTTATACGTAATAATTTCCACAAACTTTTTGAATAAATTTATCAGAATATCTATCAGAATACTTAAATTTTTCATTGCCGAGGTTCACTACTGATCCACCTTGCGATCTAAATATTTTTCTTTGCCGAGATTCACCATTACTGATCCACCTTGTGATCCAAATCCAAAACAGTGCCTTTAAAATTACTATATAGATAGTATGCATTTCCTTAAATCATTTTATAATTATTAATTTTTATCTATTTACTTTTAAAAATATAACCTTCAATTTCTAAATATTGGTTACCTAAGTTAATTCCATTCTTAATAAAAAGCACTCTTATTTTTACAAGACTTCTTTATTATCTTCCACTTTCTTCCTTTTTTCTTAACCAGCAACTTTACTTTTCGTTATTAACTCTAATAGCTTAAACATTCGTTATAACATTTAAAAAAAAGGTAAAAAACAAATATAATCGTCTGATTAAATAGTTATAATATCATATTACTATAAACTAACTTCTGAATATTTTTTCTTCCAAATATTTGTTGATATGGCCTACTGTTTAATTCTTCATTTTACATGCCCATTCGTCCATGGTTTATTATTTTTTTTTTTTAAAGACAAATGAAAGACACGTCAGTAATTAATATAATAAGTAGAATTTCAAGTAACTTCAGTGTCCTGACCTTTTTGAAGCTATTAAGGCTGCAAAACTTTCACTTCTCATCTAGTTTTCTCATCTTTTGTATCCTATTGTATCCCAAGTTAAAAAATGTTCGCTTTAGACGTGTAATAATAGATTATTAAGCCGGTTGTTATGTTTACATATTGCAAAAAAATTTATATGTCATGACGATCTTCACTTATAAAAGTACTTTAAAATTTTCAATTGACTATATAAAAAAAAAGATCGTTGCCAATCATATTTACTCCAATTTTGGCCAATCAAAACGAACTTCCACTATGCTTGATGATGCAAATGAATATTTATTAGAGTATTTGGGTTTTATAGTAGTTAGACATTAAAAGTATAATTGTTAAAGATAATTAAATTATTTCTTTAATCTGTAACTATTATTTCTAACCTGTCTTTTGTTTTATTCTACCTGTTTGTTTCCCACTTTATTAATTAACTAACCAATTATATCTATATATTCCTACTCTATACTCGATTTAGATATGGTACAGAAAAATGAAATTAACCATTACTAAAATTTATTATGCACTAATATATATATAAATATTGGCTGTACTAATCAAATGTCTTCAAATTAAGATATTTTATTGAGATACAACAAAATAAGTTAGAATGTGAAGTAAATACATTATATTAATTTAATGATTTCAAAGTTCCCAGTATTTAATATGTTGAATTATAGCTTAATTTCACAATACACTAGTAATAAGTTGTATAATGTATATACATAGAATCTTTATGTAATACTGTATTAAATAGTGCTATTTTGTGTATAATTGTATTGTGACTATGTTAAATATTGCTATTTTTATAAGTTGAAATACAAGAGAACATCTTGTTTCATATATTCTTTTAAGTTTTCTTAAGTTCTATATATAGATTATATGATATTAATCATAACATAATAAAATCATAATCATAACGATCATATGACAAGTAATCATATATCATATGATTTTTATTATATGATATATAATTTAACAGCTATATGATTATGATCTTTTAAAAAAATTTATATGACATGCAATTGGCCAACACTGGTTATGTGTATAGGTGATAATCACCTGTGTAAATTAGAATTCTTCCATGCATGAAAGTTTCTAAATAAAATAATTGACTATTTAGTGCTAGCATTTATTTTAATAAAAAATATAAATAAACTTTTATAAAAAGAATTAGTCTATATGAAGCCACAGGCTACTGTAGCCATAACTAGGATCAGGTACAACGTAACTATCACAACAATTAAAAATAGCTCTTTTTTTTGTTAGTTAGAGTTAGGGTGAAATAAAGATAGTATACAGACAAAAAGTAAATTTTATAGCAAGTAATTTTTTTTGTTAGTACTCAATTTTGAGTTTTTGACAAAATAAATATTTATTTTGAATTTTTGCTTATGTTATGTTACACAATCTTAAAATTTGATTGGCTTTTATCGTTATGGGATGTGGTCAGAGTTTAAAATCTATATGCAGAATCTGCGATGCGCAGATTCTGTGAGTAACTTTGGATGTGGTTACTGTAGCCACAGTTACAAATTTATTAACTCTTATAAATATCTTTATTTGCGAATTTTGTAATTGAAAAAAATCAATATATCTTCCCAATACTGTATATCTTCTCTAAGAAGAACAAATTTTTTCAAAATGTCTGATAAAATATTTTTAAAATCTATAAAAATTACTGATGAAAACAATGGATCTATTAATCTTTATGGGCAAGTTATTGTGCAGCATTCTAGTAAAGACAAAGAGAAGATAGTGACAATAGAATACACTGTTAATTCTTGGGACACAGGCGATAGTGTAACTGCATTACAATCATCTACTCTTTCTAATAATCAAGAATTATATTATTTTGAAATTTCTACTTTTAAAGCTTCTAATACACCAATATACCTTGAATTTCGTGCGCAATTTAATGTTGAAGATATTACTTTTTGGGCTGATAGTAATTATGAATATTTATATGATGAGGGTTATCCTAAAGAATTCTTTTTTCATGATACTGCAATTGAAAGTACCTCTCGGAATAATTCAACAGAAGAAAATAGCTTAGCACTGAATGAAAAACACAGACAATTAGAAGAAGAACTTAGATCGCTAGAAGAAGAACGTAAACAAAATAAGGAAGAACGTAAACGTAGACAACAAGAGGAGGAACGAAGAAGTCTGGAAGAAGAATGTAAATAACTAGAAAAAGAATGCATGCTTTTAAGAAAAGAACGAATGCTATTTGAAGAAGAATGTAACCAAGTTCCTAACCAAATAACCCAAAAGAAGAATTGCTCTAAATGTTTAAAGAGTCTTGAAATTAATGTCTTTTTGAAAATTACAGACTAATGTGGTCATGATATTTCTATATGTCGTGATTGTGTAGGTGAACATATTGAGCGTGAATTTAATAAAGAAATTATTAACATTTTATATTCTGAAAATAATCGTCATGAAGTTACTAAGAATGTTAAAATTAAATGTCTGGAAGATTGATATAATAAAATATTAAATCAGAAAAATATAAAAGAATTCGCAAGTGAGGAGACATTTAGACGGTGTGTTTATTAGATCACATTGTATACGAATCATTGTTTATTGTTTTTTAGAAAAAAATATATATATTAAATAAACTTTTACATTTTTATTGTAGATATGAAAAATTCTTGCTAAATTTTGCATTATCGCAAATTGATACTTTTTAATGGTGCTTAAATCCGAATTGCGGTTCAGGACAGGACCATTATCAAGAAGGTAAATTATATTGAATATCTGATTAAATATTTTTATCAACATTATTAATCTACCCTTACTTCAAATTCTATTTCCTAAAGGCTCTCCAGTAATGATCTGCAATTCGTGTGGGAAATGTCCTGTGTTGTGTACAGACTTCTAATTGATGTTGAGTGCAAAAAATGCAGAGAACAGGAAGATGAACGCAGATGACAGGAAGAACTTAGATTAGTAGAAGAAGAACGTTGCAGACTAATAAGAAAAGAAGAACTTAGATTAATTGAAGAAGAACAACACAAACTAATAATAGAAGAAGAAGAACACAGACTAAGAGAGAGGAAGAACTTATATTAATCGAAGAAGAACAATGCAAACTAATAATAGAAGAAGAAGAACGCAGACTAAGAGAAGAGGAAGAACTCAGATTAATTGAGGAAGAACAACGCAGACTAATAATAGAAGAAGAAGAAGATAGGTGAAGAGAAGAAGTACGTAGGCGAAGGGAAGAAGAAGAATGTAGGTGGCAAGAGGAAGAATGAAGAAGATTAGAAACACTTAGAAAAAATGCCAAAAATCCTTCGTAACTCAAGTCCAAAGTGTAACAATACGTATAACTGAGAAAATGGCAATTGTAATCGACATGTGAAGGCCAGATGTGGACACCAATTTTGTTGGATGCATCATGGGGAAACCAGACTTCGGGCTTTACTTACAGAAGCCTATGTATTTTGATAAATATATTTATAATATAGTTAAAACATAGTTAAAATAATTTAAATATCATTAAAATATTGTCAATATATTTATATTCTATTAACTTACAACATTTTAACAGCTTGTTATTCGCTAATAAAAATTTTTAAAAAATAAGTAATAGTTATTCCCCGGTTTACTAATTGCTCATTACGGGGTTTTCACTATTATTTTTACGCTCAACGCGCCTAGTATCGCCACCAAAATCAGTTACGTAATCGCTTTTTAAATTTTCAATCTGCGCACAAGAATAATAGAATCACAAGATTTTTGAAGAAATAATCTAAGTTATTATTATTATTATTATTATTATTATTATATTTATTCAACTTATTAAGATTTATTTAATTACTGTATCGCTGCAAGTTATAAGTCAAATTACACTCAATTCAAATGTATAGAATACATTTACATCCAAATTCAATACACGTATAAAGCTTCACTTTGAATTTTTTATGCTACTAATAAAAAGTATTTCGTTACGTCCACTACAAATTTTTGGAAACTTTTTACCCGTTCAAAATCTTTAAAATTCGATACAATACTTCGAAGCCATTTTTTTGTTTGGGAAGATTATTAGACTTTTCAAGACAATCAAGAGCCTAAAACATAAAATTAATAAATAAACATGGAATTATAATGAAAAAAAAATTTTGTACCTAATGAAGAGTTTATTTGTACTTAAAATTTCAGATTGGATTCACTATCTTCAGTACTCGATTCTTCATTGTCTATATTTTGGTTTTCTGAATTTACCATATCGATCGTTAAATTGACTTGTGTGTAATTGAAAGGTAATATTCGAATATTTTCCCATAAAGTTTCTTTAGCTTCCGTAATGAGAGGATATTGAGAATTGCATTGTATCTAAATTAATATTAGATTTAGAGATTTTAAATCATAATAAAATGATAATGAACTTGCAAAAGTTATTTACTTCCAATTCGTTAACTGTTTGGGAAATATCTACAATTATCTCAAGATTCATATACATATTGCTTTCTTCCTCAACATCCATAAATTTTTCATAAACTATATATTCAAGCTCTTCGGATTTTATAGCATTTTCTTTTTGCTTGTGAATAACATTTAAAATTCGATCCTCACGTTTCTATTTTATGCTTCCATTTACACGGGTTGTAACTTAAAACGTGACTTATAATTATTTAGAAATGCAGTTTTTTGGTTTCGTAATTCGACAAAAAAATGAATAAAGTTGTGTATGTTCTATTTAGAAAAATATTTTGTATTACGATATCCAAAGAAATAAAAATTTTCATCGTAAATTGTTATTATGTTATTGATCAAATGTCGATTAGCTTTAATTTTAATATCGGCAATAAATTTAAGCTCCATTATACGTAACTGATTTTGGTGACGATACTAGGTGGGTCACTTCGTAAACACCACATTTCACCGACAATTACTTACCGCGTGCGTAACATGGAATTTGTTCGTATTTGTTGCATTTTTCAAAAAATAGCCAATAACTCAAAATCTTGTCTAAAAAACTGCCTCTTGCGTTCTAACAAAAAATATTCCTTGCAAACTTTTAGTATAGAATCTATTCTTTCCAACTTTAAAGTTAAAGCAAATTTACAGCAATTGAATAGTATCACAGTGAGAAAGGAGTAAATCCATTACTTACCGACAAGTTCATTTCACAGAAGCCCATTTTACAGACAATGTAATTCTGGTCAGTATCATTAGGGTTAGGTTAGAATTGGAGTTAAAGTTAGTGTAATTTATAAAAAAAAACTTGTCGGTGAAATGAGCTTCGGTGAAATAGACTGACGGTAAAATAAACTTGTCGGTGAATAATTGTCAGTGAAATGTGTCTATGAAATGATTGTCGGTGAAATAATACGGGCCCTTTTTAAGTCTACTTATTATAGCCACCCACAAAATAAAATATCAACGAAACAGAAAAAAAGAAAAAAAACACTGTTTTCAACATTCGATATCCACAAAAAAAAAAAAAACAAGTTTGGCACTTTTTATGCATGAATCTATAAATAAAGGCACTCAAGACTTTATCTATTCTATTATATTACAGTATTTCTAATAGTATATTATACGAAATTAATGCAGTATAAGATTCTGGTTTTTTTCTTACCGACAAAATTTTACTAATTTGAGACCTGCTATACTATTGGAATACAATAGAGGATCTTAGGAATTTTTATTTTAGGCATGTTAATTTAGATTTATTTGCGATACTGCAATTTAAGAAGCGTTATAAATCTAATTTATCGCAAATTTTATTTTTATCATAAGATATCATTTTTTTATGGCATTAAATTCATCAAAATCAATTATCTTCGATTACCTTTTTCTATCACAAAAAAATAAATATATAAAAAGATTTATTTACATTTTTAAATAAATCATGTACTACACATACATAAATAAATAAAGCTAACTAAAAAAACCGGAAATAACAAATGAACTAACTAAAAAACCAGTAATTCACTAACAAAAATTACAACTGTTTTTCCTCAATATGTAGCATAAGTATTATCCTTCTTATTACAATGGGCATAACATTTTGTAACTTTAACTTGACATTCATTTTGAGCTGATACGTCATTATAGCCATAGCTGGTGGTACCACTAATGCACTCCGTGTATTTGTTTTGACATGCGACCGTGCAATCTTGTGCGGCAGTTTGGGGACTTCTTCTGAAGGGTCCGGCTTTGGGATAGGGAGCAGCTTTAGGATTGGCAGAAGCCAAAGCAAATAAGAAGACGGAAACAAGGAAGAGAATAAAGTTGGCCTTCATTATTAATGAAATTTTATTAATGTTTCTTTTAGCGAAAGTTATTTCGTTTTTTTTAAAAAAATGCTTTTTATTTGATAGTAAGCAAATGATATTTTTGAGTAATACGCAAGAACTTTGATTTTAGAAAGAAAAACTTTCTAGCTATATTTATAGAAAATCAAAAATCAATGATTTACAAAACCTATAAGTGTGAGAATCCATAGGTATGAGGCTTGAATACCTTGAAAGGCCAGAAGAAGTCGAATGACATTATGTTCTTCCTGGCTCTCCTACTATAGTACTTATCCGTGTACTCAGCAATTTTTATCGTATGATTCAGATATGTACTTAAGCCACGCATTCTAATACTAAATTAAAAATGTTACCGATAAAAAGTAATCTCTGATTTTTGGCCGCACTGATCTTGAGTGGCTCATGATTTTGCACTTATTCATATTTTATGGCTGTGTGTGGCTGTGAGAAGGGTGCGCCTTTTGGCACTAAAGATTTTTTTTGCATAATATAATATATTATTAGTCTGCAAGATTTTACGACCCGTCTGTCGATCGGAAATATATATATATATATATAAAAAAAAAAAAAAAAATTAATAAATAGTAAAAATTTATCGTGCGAATTAGATTAGATTAGAGAGGGATTTTCAATTTCCGCTTGTTATCGCCGATCTACAAGATGCTTAAGCCTAATAATTGCCTAAGCCGTCAAAGGATTTGCAATAAAATGTTAATGAATTAATTAGAAAACAAAAGCTGACGCACTAACAAATCTGAAATTATTACATAAAAGTTAGTGGCTTTATTTGCAAGTAAATCTTCATTAATCAATTCCCTTCTACAGTAATGACAAAAACGTTAATATTCATTAATCGATGTGTAATTTCCAAGATATAAGAAAATTGATTATCTACAGTAATTAGTATGTTATGTATACTTTGAGATTCTATGCCGTAACAGATAAGCCCTTGGCTGTAATACTTAATATTTAGTAGTGAAATAAGCCAAAATTCCGTGTGAAATACAATATTAGAGTTTTTTTTTTTATCATCTAATTCTTATAGTTCGGTGTGTTTTATAATAATTAAATAGAATATAATATCATACTACTGTATACTGCTTAATTAAATTCCTGTGGAATAGAAAGCAATGATTTGGGAAATGAGTCTATTGGTTTAGTAAACATTGAAAAAATAAATTAGTTTAGATATGCTGAAAGGTTCTTGAACAGCCATTAAACTATTTCGGACCGAAATAACTGAATTAATCCAGTTTAAAGTTATTAATGCACAAAAATAGTCTTGAAGCCTCAGTTGTTTTAATTAGCATGCGTAATTGTTTAAATTGTATTTTAAAATATAATCGTCTGTTATCTAATATTTACTGTAGGCTTCGATCATAACACCAGATGGCTTTTCCGATTATATGCATGAAAAATCTAATGGATCTTTTACAATGTAGATGTACCTAACAGATAGCTTTGCCGTGTCCCAAATCCAAACTGTTTGAGATTTGCCGTAACAAAGTCTTAAATACCATTACATCATTAAATGCATTTTATTTATCAATTTATATTTTCAATCAAATATAGTTTTTGTTTTGGTGAAATCTCAAATCCCGATCAAAAGCTGCCGTAATCAGTTGATGCCAAAAAAGCTTGGATTACATTTCTATAGATTATTCTATAATCAGTTGATTAATAATGAATCATTTCGCTCGGGTACCTATTGAGAACTATGAAAATAGGGCATTCGCTTGATGTCATGTGATTTGATTTTCATTTACATACATGCATTTATAGTATCTTCAACATCAACAATAAACGCCACGAGCAGCAGTTATTAAACAGGCAAGCAAGACAGTAAACAGAGAATCAGAAAAAAGAAAGTTCGAATGATGTAGGAACTAGTATAAAGAGCTAGATTGAAACCAGGCAGTAAACAGTAATAGACTGCGATATCGGTTTGGAGAGCAATTTCGGATATAGTTCAATTTAGCTCCGATAGTTCACTTGGATGACGTTCGTTACGGCTTGTACACGTGATATGATGCCGCGAATTAATTTACTCGGGGTTGAGTTATCACTTAATTATATCACACTTTAATTATTCGTTCTTTTACTATCAACTTTTAATACGCTTTCTTACTCATGTAACAATTTATAGTATTGGGATAATTATGCAAGATAACAGTTATAATATAATAAAACAAATACTACCGGAGAAAATCCGATTTTTATTTATATACTCTATAACTAAGACATCGTAGTCTGATCAAACTTTATTAAGGCGAAAAGTTACCCATTAAATACATTTTTACTTACTATGGTCTTACTGCGCTATCCTTTTATTCCCATATTACTTTCCATCAATTGAGAGGTTGCTGACAATTGTGCGAGTATTGCCGACAACTGCGTGAGGGCTGCCGACAATTGCGCAAGGGTTGTTGACAATTGCGCGAGGGTTGCTGACAATTGCGCGTCAGAAAAGCCACACAATTTTGTCCAAATTTTTACTTACAATATTTACTCGCAATTTGCATGTGAAATTGCTCACTTATTCACAATTCCTATACCCTGATGTTCCAACAACCATAGCTCACAACAGCCGGTTTCCCTACACATTATACGATCATGTTCTACCTAATGTCTATCGTATGATTAACAAACGCCGAAGCAAAGTAAATATTAAAACCAATCAATACTCTAAGCCTTCAGCCCCGATCTCGGGGCCTCACGATATTCTTGTGGTTCGGGTCATGTTATAGCCCTGTCACGTGTTAAAGACTTCAATACCATCATGAGGATGGATCATATTCCCTATTTGTGCATTTATTACGTATTTAATAGATACATTCCATAAATGGTTGCTTAAATAACCATAATTAATATGTGGTTGTGCTAAGCCTCGCATGAATACTAAGATCAAGTGTAACATGGGATTAAAACAATCAAAAAACGTTATCTTTATATTTAAACTATTATACTTCTTTTCTACTCTAACAAAGTTTGTAAAATTTGATGTAGTTATAGCCTTCTAACTCTAACACGTGGTAAAAGTTTTATTTTTGCGGACCGCATAACAGGATATTGTTGCGAGAAATATTTTTTTTTATTTCTTACATTACGGCGTGCTTATGTAATCAATAAATTATTTGGCTTCATGTGTTATATGTTATTATTCTGATCTAAACTATGTAATAGAAATAAGGTTATAAAATCTGTAAGGACGCTTTTTGCTAAAATTTTAAATCATTTAACTAGAGTGCTTGCATTATATATGGATGTGGTCACCCAAATTCGAATTTATTAGTAGTGTTCTGAATAATCCGTATCTATTCGATGATTATCTAAGTGACTATAAAGATTAAACTATAGTTAGATTTATATGGCCGCAGTTTAATAGAAAAGGAGAGAACTATCTTTAGATATGATCAAATTTTGAAAAAGTCCGTTTTTACGTTCTTGATTACAATATCAATGCAATTCGAACTTAAAAGTTCTAAGTTCTCGAAGTTGTGTTCAAAGCGCAAAAACGTGACTTTTTCGCAGTTCTTGTCGGATCTAAAAATCGTTCTCCTTTTTCTATTGGACAATCCCACATATTCTAAATATTTAAACAAGTTTATTAAAACAGTGTTCGGACTGGTTCCGGTGGGTTCTTTAAGGACCCGAGTCCAAATAGAGTTCCGAAACCGAAAAAACTTGGAATCGACCGGCGAGACCCGAAATACAACCAATCAACATGCGCTATTTGATTTCGGTTCGAATCCAACTAAAGATCTGGAACAGAATTTTTCAAAAATAGCAGGCCCAGATTCGAACCGGGATCGTTTCTAGTTCGGTTCTGCGGAACACTATTACCCATCTAATGCTATTCATAGAAAGCTTTAAATAATCAATAATATACAATAATAATACTGCACTAACGCTAAACCCTGCATCTAACTAGAACCTTAAAGTCCATCAGACTAACCATAAATAGGGGTCGTTTAAAGCAAGATACGTACGTATGTACAGTACAGTACATCACGAACGGGGTATATCATTCTAAATGAAGTGTTTTTCTCAATACCTGCTTGATCAAATTCGATAAAATTTTTTTGTCAAAAGTTAAAAAAAAAAAAAAAAAAAACTTAAAATATCGAAAAAAAAACTAAACCTGGATAAATTTTTCTTTCTTTGAACTTTAAACGAAGATTTCTCGACAACCTGCTAACGAAATTTGATGAATTTTTTTATTTTAAATTCTATGAATATGGAAATAAAATAAAAAATTTGAATAGCTAGTTATTGATAAATTTTCATTTAAATTTAAAGAATTTTGGCCGCAACTTTTTTTATAGGCGCCTAAACTTTGAACGAAGATTACTCGGCACTTACTTGATCAAATTCGATCAAAATTTTTTTATTTATTATATGAGCATATAGAATTAAAATAAAAAAAATTTGATCGAATTTGATCAGTTAAGTGCCGAGTAATCTTTGTTCAAAGTTTAGACGCCTATAAAAAAAAAGTTGCACCAAATTTTTTTAACCTTTCTCGATTACCAGTTATCCAAATTCGATCAATTTTAATTCTATAAATCCACAGAATTAAAATGAAAAAAATTTATCAAGTTCGAATAGCTGGTTGTTGAGAAATATTCGTTTAAATTTTTTTAAAAAATTTTAAGAAAAAGAAGTGCTGCAAATCTTTAAATGACAACCAACCATCCGAATTTGATAAAAATTTTTTTATTTAATTTTATAATTCATTTTCGCTCAAATTTTTGAAAAATTTTATTTTTATTGATAATTTGCACGTGATATAAGTGACATTAGTATCAACAAAGTAAGTTTTGCAATAAAGTCACCTGATCTCGCAACCGTCGCTTCGTTTTTCAAACATAGAACGTCAACAATGCCTAGATAAATGTACTTGCAGCAGTGGCTACTAGAATGTATACAGGTATGACGAATTAGAATTTCCTCGCCGATCGATGCACTACCCACGACACAAACTATGAAAAACTTAAATTTTGGGGCTAAATAGTATCTATTTTACAAGGCGCCATAATGATGTGCAAATGATATTTTAAAATGAAGATAATGAGGATCTCGACTATATAATTGGATTGTACAAATCTTAGAATTACAAAACAGTAAAATTAGCAAAATTCTTTAACCTCTTTTTTTTTTTTTGGTAAAGTAATGCAAACCACAAACTTTGAATCCGTTATTGAATATGACCATGCCCTTTTCGCCTCTATCGAAGTCTATCATTTAAGTTAAGAATTTTGTGTGATAATTGTTTAGATGGTTTTAGTTGTAGTTAGCTGTATAACATCATTTCCGAAATAGGTTCATCCTGACACTTTTCAACGTACGTACTTTCAATGTAAACCTTATTATTTTCGCCAAATGGTTGACTACGGTGAAGTCACATTGGGCATGCATTTCATCGATTTATAATATTCGCACAAAAATACTGTTATTTTATTGTAAATGATTCAAATACAGGTTTAAAACATTTTAATACATAAGTACACTTTATCAGAGCTATAAATGTGTTATTATTTACGGACATATTGAAAATTTTTATTTCTGGAACTTCTGGAATTAAAAAAAGTGTACAATTTATGATAAAAGTTTTATACAGAAAGATAATCTATAATTACTCATTTCATTCAACGAACATTAATAAATTAATCATGTAAAATAAAATTTTATTGGGCTGGATTTATTGAGTATTTTTGATAAGCAAGATTAGAAGCATACGCTCCTTTATCCGGAAGTGGTCTTGAATCGCGTGTTTCTATAGGTGAATCGGCTCTAGCGGCATCTGCGTCGGTTGGTGTGGTCTTCTGAACGCATTTACATTCAGATTGATCCCATACGAGATCCACCATGCACATCATATTTTGAACACAATGTCTAGTTGAAGTTGTGGTTGGAGCCGTGATTATTGTTGGGGACCCGGCTGTGGTCTTCTGGATGCATTTGCAATCAGATTGACTCCATTCATAATTTACCATGCACATCATATTTTGAACACAATGTCTAGTTGAAGTTGTGGTTGGAGCTGTGATTATTGTTGGGGACCCAGCTGTGGCCTTCTGGATGCATTTGCAATCAGATTGACTCCATTCATAATTTACCATGCAATCTGCATTTTGAGCACAGCGTCTCGTTGAAGTTGTGGTTGGGGTTCCGGTTTTGGTCATCGAAATGCATTTGCATTCGGATTTTTTCCATACGAAACCTTGTGGACAATAGATAGGATCACAATGCATCGTCGGAGTAGTAGTTGGGGTTGTAGTCTTTGGAATACATTTGCATTCAGATTGACACCATATGAAATCTTGTCGACAAAGGACATTTTGAGCACAATGTCTCGTTGCGGTTTTGACAGGTGGATGGTATTCATGCTTGTGAAGGAATTTATTAGGCTGATGACGATGTGGTTTATGAAGGTGCCTGCGATGATAGTGGAACTTGTGTTGGTGTCCATCAGCAATCGCAAAGGTGATGAGAATGAAAGTAATAATGCTAAGCACAACCTTCATGATGGAATATGACTAAAGAAAGAAGAATTATGAGGAATGAAAAAGGGGTTATTTAATATTTTTCACTTCAAAGTTCCATGTTCATTTTATTGTTTTCTAAATTGTCTTGTGTAAATTGTCTGCATTTTATTTACATTTGTTTTTCTGTTTACTACGTATTACTGGCGGGTAATCGAAAAATGCATATATGTAGCATTTCTATAAAAATCACCTCGATAATCATTTAATGCATTAGCTTTTTTTGATTGTTTACCAAAAAATTTGAAATTACAGATATTAATTGTGCCCAACATAATCCGAACATGTGCGAAAGAAGAAAAAAGAAAGAAAGCGAAAGTACTCAAAAAACTAGTGTTTAAACCGACCTTTGTGGGCTAATAAAAAATAACGGGGATGAAATTTTACATATTAGAAACTCCAATTTATCGCTAAAGCTCACAACTCTAACGTCCTAATCCTAAACTTCTATTTTTTATTTACAAAATTTGACTTCCTTTTTGGTTCAAATAAGTAAATCGATTGTGATGTACATACGTACTCGATCATGTTTATGCACTTAATGTGCACAAATTATATAAGCTAACAAAAAAAATGTAACGTAAATTAGTGATGCCAAGAAAAGCCAAATTTTATTTATATCTGATATATTATCTGTATATGTACTGTACACACGCTCTTAAATTGATATTAGATAAAATAAAATAAAAAACTTTAATTGCGCCGTCACACAGAATTTATTCTTCTGCGCTAAGTTTTAATATATGTCACGGATGATCGTGAAATCAAACATTTAATATTTGGGTTTTAAAAATTTTTGGTGTACATTTTTTTAGCCGTTTTTTTAGATTTGGATTAGGATTTAGGGTTAGGGCTTATAATAAAAGAGTATAGGAGGTTTTAAATTTTTAAATAAAGGCTCCAGATTTCACGATCATCTGATTTCACCATAATCCGCGAAAATATATAATACTGCCACCTTTATCCATTCTGCATTTAGAAATTATTAACACTTCATTATTTGTCCTTTAGTAATGAAATAAGATCTTTCATTTCTAAAATAGGTATTCACGAGAATTTATATGTTAGTAATTTTATTAATTTCAATTCAATTAATTCGTGATCCGCGTGGGAACCAGTGAAAAACATGGTAATCTGTGGGGATAATGTTTACTATGTATCTTTTGTAATTTTTTTTTTTTTTTGGAATCTGGTGTTTCCCTAAGGACAAATCGAGTCTATACTAACTAGACAACTCTTCTACTTTTACTGAAAGTTGTAGAGGAGAGAATTTCGGTCATAATGGCGGTTAACCCGTTAAAATCGGTCCAGTAGATGGCGAGATATGTACATTTTTGTCTTCATGACTATACTTTTACTTCTTTGTTTACTAAACATAGGTGTGTGAAATTCAATTTTGATTTTATGTTCTCATAAGTACATTTTTAAACTCTTGACGTTCTCAAAAATTTTTTTCTGTTCTCAATATAAAAAATTAAATTTGTTTTATATGTAAAATTTATCCAATGTCTTAAAATAGGGAACTTGTTTTAATAAATTATGTTCTCAAAGATTAATTAATGATCTCAGAAAATGGCGAGAACATTGAATTTCGCACATTGGTCACGAAGACAAAAATACACATATCTCGCAATCCACCGGGCCAATTTTAACGTTTACTCTCCTCTACAACTTTTATTAAAACCAGAAAAGAGGTTTGCTTAATATAAAATCGATTTACCCTTGGGAATAGTGATGTGAACGGCTCAGTTCCAAGCCTACTAATAAAGCATCAGCTCTAAAAACGGCTCAGCTAGGTTTATATCATATTACTATTACCGTATAAGCGCGAAATAACGTCCACCTGTGCACTAATTAATTGACCTGTACGTTATTTCGAATACGCTTATGTGCGTTATTTCGAAATAAGAGATGATTTTCCAGTCGACCTATAATAAATGCACGTTGTTGGGTAATAAAATATTCATTATGGAGACTAATCTATATATAATATTAAATAATTACATTAGACCGATCAAATTATATGCGCATATCATTATTATTATGGGTATTTCATATACTAATTAATCAAAATTTATGTAAGGTACAGTAATAATGACATTAGTGTAAGATTTCATGCATAAAATTGATCGGCTTTACTAGTAAATTACTATCAAAAGAAACGAATCAAAAAATTGATTCAATTCACGTATTAATGATCTTTTCTGGCGATTTTTGTGGCAAACAATTGCCATAGTGCAGCCAAAAGAAATTACAGTTTAAAACTTTTGATATTCGAACATTTTTAACTATTACATTAACAGTATTTTTTTTTTTTTTGGTTTACTATATAAACTCCAGCTAAAAGAAGTGTATGTGTTATGAATTGGCCTTAATAACCAAAATTTTGAAACTGTAATTGTGTAAAGAAGGCTTTCTTTATATTGTATATAAAGTTTTATTATAAGTTTTTTGATTGTTTTAATACTGAATCTTTTTAGAACTCGGCTTTTGTTATCGTTAGATGTTTAATCAAAAAAAGCCATGTTATTTTTTACGAATTGGCTTTGGTAACCGAAAATTTAAAGTTTAATTGAGTAAAAAAAGTTGACTAATCATATTATATGTAAAGTTTTAAGCTTATGTGATAGTTTTAATGCTGAATTTTTAAGATTCGGTTAGAGAATATTGCCGGGTATGTCAGGATCTTCATAATATATAAAAAATCCGTACTAGTAATTTTATTATAATACCTTATATGAGTGCCGCCAAGCGAAAACCTGTCATCGGGCTTTCAACTATATTTTATGTACAGTTAGCCATCTATGAGATAGCTAACTGTACACAAAATACAATTGAAAGTCCGATGACAGGTTTTCCCTTGGCGACACTCATATAGACTTGATTATTTAGTATATGAAATACCCTAATGTGAGTGTGCACATATGAGTATCGACTGTATATCTATCGCAACAGTAAATTATGTGCTACATTAATTCGAGACCATTGTGGCCATCGGTTGGGAGAGCAATTACGGATGTTAATCTAATTTAGCTTCGATGGTTCACTTGACTTAGATTTATAGCACTTGTACACGTGATATGATGTCACGAAACACTTAAGTGGGTCGGGTTATCACTTAATTAGGGGCCTTTCTAATGTTGATTATGCCGATTTGAGGTATTACTCTTTAAAGTAATTTAATGGTAAATCATTACCATAAATATCTTGTAACTAACCATTTATAGAGTCTATTGCTTGAACGAGTAATACATAAAAATTAACTTTAGAAAGGCCCTAGATCAGGCTTTAATTATTCGGGGTGTAATTTATTATGTAACAATGTAATGCAAGATAACAATAATAATAAAAGAAGAATACAACATATAATTAAACTAATAAAACAGTGTAATACATAAAACTCAAATACAACACACAACACATGTGAGATCCGATTCTTATTTTATATTCTATAACTAAGACATCGTAGGTTCTGAATCGTAATCTGAGGAAACTTTACTAAGGCGAAAACTCATGCCTTAAATACATTTCAATTCACTAAGAGCTACTGCGCTATCTTTAACCTCAACCTTATCTTCCAGCAATCAGTCTTGGGTTGTGAGCAACCCGCGTTAGGGAGGCCACCAAATATTGCTCACAATTTGGTCGCAATTCAACTCACAATTACCGGTTTCTTACACATCATTCGATTGCTTCCTATCTGATGTTTATCGTATGATGGGAGTAACCAACCACCGGGATTGATCTATATTTCTAAGCCTTTCAGCAGCAACTCACAATATTCTTGTGGCTCGGGTCATTTAAGCTTTTAGTACTACCAAGTCACATCAAGTCACGAGTTAAAATTTTAAACCGTGACACCATATAAATTATTTTTTGAAGGACATGATTTTCAAAATAACGTTCACGAGCATTATTTCGCGCTTCCAATAATAAACTCACCTACCATTGTGACTTCAATGACATTGAAAATTTATTTAATTATTCTGATAAAGTTTTCCCAAACTACTTTTAAAACCTAATGTTTCAAGTATATGGAAAACTATCCGAAATTTCTAGAAACTTTAGCGTTTATACTTTACTATACTTTACTATTTTCTGCTTAAAAAACGTCTCTAAGTGAAGTATACTTACATAGAGTAGTACTTGAAACCTCGTCTGTGAAGAACCTCCTACTGTACAGTATTATAAGGCCACGTAAAGTTAATTTTCATTTTGCATAACCCATCGACCCAATTTTTCAATAGTGTAGATAATATTAATAATTTGAACGCTCTATTAATATTGGAATTAAAAGTTAAATTAGAACAGTGTAGAGTTGAATTAGAATAACTCAAAGAAGCAAAAGCAAGTAATTTTACTTTATCAAGATTTTAATAGTAATATATGATAGCATATATTAATTTTAGACATTAACAAAATAATTACACTTTGCATATCTCAACTTTTATGAAATTAAAAAATATGTTGATCTATATTATGAGGTCACTGAGACTTATGCTAAAAAAGAATTGGTTAAATTAAATACAGAATTGGCATTAAAAGGATAAAAAGAAAACATTTATTTATTATCAAAATCAGCAGATATAAATAATTCTAATGAGATAAATATTTATATTCTTAATTGAGAATCTAAATTGATTATATTGATTAATGAATAATCTTTATATGCACAAACTAGAAAAATAATTGATATAATAAAAAGATTTGAAGGATATCATATATAGTAATAAGTATTTATGTTCTTGATCTGTTTACTGATTTTAATTTTATTAATTAAGTAAATGAAAAGATTTAAAGAAAATTATGCAATAGTAAACAAATATTTATATTTTTGGCTTGTAAACCTGATTGTTGATATTTTTTTTTTTTAAAAATTTGATGGCCATGTCACATTGGGGTGGCTGATCGTCTAATAAAATCAAACATATGTATAGTCCCATATAAATTTGTAATAATGCAGATTTTTTTTAATCGTTATTATTATGGCATATATTTGAATTAGTTTGTATTGAAATTATCATGAATTTTATTGTGAGTTAACACAAAAAATTGTTATAGAACTTACTATTTTGATGACATACATTATATAGTTGAGTTAGTTTGCAATAGAAATTTAATGATTTTTTTTATGGATTACTTAAAAACTTTGCTACAGTAACACACTATAAGTATGGTAAGTATGAAGTTGTTTGCATTGGAATTAATGTAATTTCTGTCATGAATTACTATAAAAATAAATACAGAACTTATCTCTCTATTCTGGTAACACATAATATGTAATTAAGGTTGGCATAAAACTATTGCAATTTCTATCATGAGTTACTGTAAAAAATTCTTTGCAGAACATCCAGTATATACAATATAAGATTAAATTAGTTTGTATTAGAATTATTATAATTTTTGCTAAAAAAAATTGTTACAGAACTTACTATTCTGGTGTACACAGTATATGGTTAAGGTTGATTTGTATTAAAATTAATGAATTGGTTGCTGTAAAAAAATTCTACAGCAAAGCTTGCTATTTTAATAATATATAGCTTGTATTAGAATTATTGTGATTTTATTATGATGTATAGTGCTGTAAAAAACTTTTATATAATTTACTCACTATTTTGGCAATATATAATATGTAGTTAAGGTTGTGTTGGTTTGCATTAGAATTATAATGATTTTGTACTATAAAAATTCTAATACAGATCTTACTTATATATTTGTAACACACTGCATGTGTTATGGTTGAGTTAATGCAAGTTACTGTCAAAAATTCTAAAACACAGTATGAAGTTAATGTTGAGTTACACAGGTCAAAATAAGGCAAATCGGGTTCAAATTGGCATCACAAGATCATGATATGAACCTGATTTGAAACAGATATTTGGTGGAAAGAAGATACCTATAGGATACAATTTGGATTAATATCAGCATACAAGACATATTGACAAACCGATAGCTTAATAAGTAAATCAATAGTGCTATAAGATAAGCTCTATTGATTTATCTATTAAGCTATCAGTTTGATGATATGGGTCTTTGCCTTGAAAATTGAGTTACGGGACATAGTAAATCATATGTCCCATACTTGATTTTCAAGGCAAAGACCCCATATGTCTTGTATGCTAATATTAATCCGAATTGTATCCTATAGGTATCTTATTTCCGCCAAATATCTGTTTTAAATCGGGTTTATATCATAACAGATTTGAACCCGATTTGCTTTATTTTGACCTGTGTTAATTGCATTGAAATTATTATAAACTCAATTATAAATTTCTGAAAAATTCTGTTACTTACCATTCCAGACAAATGAATGTTAGCAAAAAAAATGGTAGGGAAAAGAAATGGTAGGGAAAAGAAATAATATGGATTTATACGTATATATATATGTATATGTACAATTTGTAAGAATAGATTTTGACAAATTGTACTATTTTTTAAAAATGGCAATCAGGATGAATTTACCAGGTATATGGTATTACAGTAATAGATAGAAACTGATAAATTTTTTAAATTTAAGTTGAAGATAATCAATGCTAGAAATAAAGATTATACTTAGTTAAATGCAAAAAGAAAATGGCAGTGCTATTGACGAATAATACTGGTTGAAGAGTCAAACCGAGTAATTGTAGAATTGGATATTAATGTTGCGCCACAAATTAACACTTGCTTCAGATGTCGATTTTTTTGGCTACATTAACTAATCGATATTGGTTGGTCTAAATTAAGCCCTAATTTTACCCTAACACTAACTCTTACCCTAAACTTAGGCCGATTGACATCTTAGGCATGACATTGATGATCTTCCAAGCTTAACCAATAATTATTAATGTTGATCGAACCGATCAAAAAAAAAAAGGTGATTATTTCCTTCGAACTAACCATATTGAAATACGATAGTTGATGATTTGATCTACAGATTTGTGACAAATGATCGAGGATGAAAAGGTCAACAGTTTGGTGATTGTGTGAGTGCCAAATGACGAAAAGATCTATGCATTGAAGGGTCGAAGTGAAAAATTGTATAATTTAATGATAATGATAATGATAATTAGGATAGAATATGCTTAAGAGGTAAGATAGTTAATTGTTTGTTATTTACATTACTACCGGGTGAGAAGTTTATTGTATGAATAAAAATATTTCCATCTAACAAATTGAAAAATGTCTTTATCAGATTGATACTTTGTTAGGCCTTGTACATAAGAGGTTCTAACATCCTTTGCGACAATTAGAATGATCAGAGGAACATGCGAAGGCATTTTGTTAATTAAGAGGTATAATAAGAAAAATAATTTTAAATTTACGATATGCTTACCAAGTAAATAATACGTGTCATTACCACAACATACTTACATGCCATGAAACATGTCACAAATTATAATCTAAAATCAATTTACAGAATTGACGCCACGATAAATAACCATGTTTGAGATTTCAGTCAGTACAAGAAATGAAAAATCGAATGCAGTAAACTCACGTAAGACCGTTATTTGTCAAAAATAAACAAAGCAAATAATTTGCAAATATTTACTTAAAAAAATACGAAGCCCTATATTTTTTTACTCTATAAATACAACACGAATTCGGTAAAAAAATTTTGGAATAAACAATTTCCTTTTTGGATAAAATGGGCAATGTGGCGGCTCACGAGGGTACACCAAAGCATTAATCAGCAAATCGAAATTCATAAGTTTAAGCAAACCTAGAAATAACCAGAAATTACCCGAAAATAAACATCAAGTAAAATGTTAATGCCGTTATAAGTTAATTAACTATGTATTTTTAAAATGTTGTAACTTACTTTCTAGTAAAGCAAATTCGATTCTGTAATTTGCAAATGGTATAAAAATATTGTGGGTTTAAAATTATGTTTCTATATTTAATAATTTTAGTAGGTCTTTATAACTTAATCGTTTAAATAATACTATTAAAACGTTCTAACTCCCGCTATAGTAGAACAAATTTAATCTGTAACTTGTAATCGGCGTATAAATAGTGTGCTTTTAAAATTATGTTGCCATATTTAATATTAATACGTAAATTTTAGTAGTTCTCTATAACTTAATCGTTAAAATAATCATTAATTCGTAATTTTCGTCAGCTTTAATAAATGAAATGAAAAATATCTCAACATAGTTTTAAAAGCATCCTATTTATATATCATTTGCAAGTTACAGAATTGAATTTGCTCTGCCAGAGTGAGAGTTAGAACATTTTAAATATATACGGTTTTTATTAAATAAAATTGCTATGATAAATTTTTTTAATAAATTTGATCGACAAAATTTTAAAAATCTTAAATAGTAGGCTAGGCCAATCATATAGTGCTGTATATACTATGATAGTAAATTTGGTATCTAACACTGCACGGTAATATTGTCATATAGTTTGCTAAATATGTACAATTAAATAGTACTATTGCATTTTCGTGATTTTAAAATTCGATGAAATGATTTTCCGGATATTTTCCATCTGATTTGGACCGGAAATCACGACATGGACGTGTCACACGTCGTATGAGTGATGCGGGCAAAATGGTAATGTAATGAGTACGAAAAGTTTGAAAAATATAATATCACCTATTCCTTTTTTTCGCTTTTCTTGTGTCTTTTAGATTCTCTTTGAAAATCGATTTCGTCCACATCACGATTTAATACAAAGTCTGAATCATTAATTATTTCCCAAATGTTCTCTAAAAATTCACCGAATTCATCTGAAATGTCCAAGTCATCATGTAATTTCCTTAACTCGTTATACCAATTATTCAACTCTTGATCATCCCGCTTTCGTTTATGCCTAGGTGTTGAAATATTGTCAATATTCATTTTATTCAAAGATTCGACGGAAACTTGAGATTGTTGTATAAATAATTTAGTTAAATATTGTTTTAATCCATCGATTATATCGAAGTGAGTAGCTTCCTTGATAATCTTCAAGTGAGAAGGCTCAAAGAAGTTTTTAGTATTGGAATAATTCTTAAAAGCGTCATATATTTCTTTGAAATTACTTTCGAGTTGTTCACTTAAAACATAATGTTGATTTTGTTTAATGAAATTATCAACCTTAATTATTTTTTCTAAAATATCATTAAAACACCATTTCGTAATTTTAGCATCTGCTCCAAACTTATTTAATACCCAGCTATAATAAAAGGCCGAGAAATTTAAAGGCATAAATGGGCTATCGTTATTATCTTCCAACCTATTTTCAAGCTCAAATTTCATCGCTTTAAAAAATACTTTTTCATGATCTTTTTCGATAACCGAATGCAAAAAATTCAAAACAACGTCAGTTTTTTTCAATCTTTTATCCAATCGAAATACTCGCAATATTTCAATTAAACATTTATGCAAAAATTCGTCTATCGATTCATTCTTTATCTGCAAAAATGCCTTTATCATCGTATTCCCAACTTCAATCAATCTTTTTTCAATTAACAATGTATCTACAATGACAGTATAGTGTAACTCAAATCCAAGCTTTATCAATTCCGAAAGTCGCTTAACCATTTCATCAGGATTTGGAGGTATCCAATTAGCCGCAGATACCGGGGAAAAAAGCATAATGATAGCACCTTGCATGACCAAGTCGTTAACATCTTTACAAATGCTATGATATCCAATCTTATGCCAATCGTTCACCAAATCAGGATGAATCAATATTGCTCTTGCTATTACGTTCAACTGCCTAACATTTTCAAATCCATCTTTAGCTGGATATTCTTCTGATATATTTAGTTGTGCGTATCTGTTCTGACTATTCCCTGACCGCGGAGGGGAGGGAATAAATCTCTGATTCAAGATTAAATCCTTAATTTGTTCCAAATTTTTTAACATAATGACTTTAGCTTCTTTAAGAGAGTATGGACCGGCTGATAAAAAGTGGAACAATTCCATGTCGTTTCCTTTTAATGATAACTGCGATTCACCAAATTGCTCTGCTGCCATTTTCAGTATATATAAGAAAATTGACATCTCCAAGTCACTGGCCCAAGGTATTTTTATACTCTGCCGAATGTTCTGAAGTGAATTATTATTCGCTCGTCCAGAATTGTTATTATATTCTATTTTCAATGTAATAAGATCTTTATCCAACTTTCCGAAATGCAAAAGCAGTCGTTGAACGAAGTATCTGGATATTATAGCTTTATTAGCAATGATTGCCCTAGCAACAGGTAGATTAATAAAGTTTGGACCAAATTTGATAGCATAAAAAAGAGCGTGTGCCCGATCGTATTTATAAATAATCCATTTGGCTCTCGCTTGCTGGTCGATTGAAATTTTGTACCAATTTTTACAAGTCAGTATTAAATTTAAAGGACATTCTACATATTGGAAAATATTAATCAAAATTTCATCCACTAAACAATGTTGTAGATATGGAAAGGCAGGGGATTTATTCTCTATTAGATGTTGAGTGCTCAAAAAGCCTTCATAAAATTTAGAAATGTAAGATTTTTTTTTAAAAAAAAAATAATTTTAATCATCTAGTTTAGCTTTATAATCTATGGGAATTACCTTTATATGTTATTGGTGATTCTTCAGACAGTTTCTTGATGACTTTTAAGATTAAAGAACGAAAATTGTCAAAGCTATCGAAATATTTAAACTGTTTAAGTAGTGGCTCTCCACCAAAAATCCCAGATAAAAGTACTCCGAAGCTATGAATTTCACATTTCTTAGTCACTTTATAGTTTTTGACGTTTAATCCTTGAGGGCTTATATTTATAGAACATTTAAAATCTGCGTTTTTAATGTAATACATGTTTTCTGAATTCTGTTTATTAATGAAGAAATAAGTATTCTAATCAATTATTAAGAAATATAAATTCAGAAAGTGATAATTACAAGATCACGATAAATAGTTCCTTTCGAGAGCATATAACTGATAGCATCAACTAAATTAAGTTTGGGAGGCAAATTAATGTTCTGAAAACGCTCTTGATCTTCTAAAGCTTGCGATTCATTCGATTGTTCATCTAGTTATCAATTCAAAAATTATAAAAAATTATTAGGATTTTCGTCTCATATTATAAGATTAATACAAGTTATATTTTATAACATTTACATTTGCAAGACTCGGAAAGCTGAATAATATTGATATTTGTCTTTTTATCAGAACATGAGTTTAGATCAATGACATAAAAAAAGAGTTAGTTTATAGCGCTTGTAATTTCATAACTACAAATAAATCGATTGATATTATACTTGTTGGCAAATTATTGGGATTTGGGACGAATTTTATTATATTTGGGATGGGATTTTAAGAATTTATAATTGCCGTCCAAACCTAATTAGCTTGGTATTTTGGGACTCTCAAGGGTATTAACCATTATTTGGGACTAGTTAAAGCCGCGGAACTTGTCCCAAACTTACTGTATGAATTGGATTTGGGACAAAATTTCAGATATATCCAATATGGACCAATAGTTATAACTATTTGGACGACAACTATAATTTGCCAACATGTATAATTGCTATATCAATTTTTTGGTTTTTACCTCTTTTATAGGCTTTCTATCATAATTTGTCACAGCATTGCCAGCCAAGTTTATTTCTTTTTTCACGTATTTAGTGCGAAAACAGTGTTTATTGGAAGAATTGATGAACATTACTAAACCTTTGCACCTACATATTGCGAAATGGTGGTTATTAAATATAATTCCAATTGCATAATGAAAGTCTAATTTAAAAAAAACTGAATTGTTATGGAAATATCTATAACGATAAGGATAAACAATTAATGAGAATACAGTAAATAAATAACGATAAAAGTAAAAATGAATAATTAATTCCAATTTGGGAAATTTAAATAGTCTGCACATCGACATGAGCTTGATAAATATATAATTATCTTTGTAATACAAAATTTTCTTAATGTCCATTGTCGGAGTGAAAGACCGCTCTTTATTGTTATTGCATCTACCTGAATAGGCTAATGTGTACACAACCTTGCATAGTGTCACCATGACAAAATTAGATGTATGTATTTACAGTACCCGACACAAAGAACCCGTGCATTGTACCCTGCAAAAAAATAGACATAATAATAAAATATGTGTAATCCTTGTCGCGGATAATACTGAAATCGAATGATGAAATCTGGGGCCTTAATTTAGAACTATAAACCCTACTAAAATCCACTTATACTCTTTATTATAAACCTTAACACTAAATCTAGTTCAATCTAAAAAAAAAAAAAAAATCCAAAAAAATGTGCCCCAAAAAATTTTAAAAATCGTACGTTAAATAGATTTTAATTTTAGCATTGTCTGTGACATTTCTAGTTTGAGTAAGATCGGAGGAAAGGATGGCATTATTTTAGTCCTCACTGGTATTAGAAACCCTCGGAGGGTTCAAAGCCCTTAATAAGCGGTTAATAATCCTTGGACGAGAAGAAAAACCAACAAGATATTAAAACTCCAGTATAAATCAAGGACACAAAAAGGCCTCTTTAGCTTAAGATTTGAGAAATTACTATAGCAGCTATTTGCATTGTTTGATTCATTTTATGCTCGAGATGTACTGTGCTTTATGTATTAAATTTAACTGTACACGTTAAACTCTTATTTTCCTCGTGATAATGTATTTCGTCGCGATTACTTTGTCCTTTGCCATCTCGACTCATAAATAAATAATATCCAATTTTGCTTATAATTGAAGCTAAATTGGTTTATACCGATGCCACCCACCCACCCGTAGACTGTCTACCGGATGGTTCGACTCTCATCTGGCTTAATGCTAAGAATGCATATACAGAATTGATTCTAAATAATTTTAATTAATAGAATTTTTTACAATTTGGTGTCAAATTCTTTCCTGAATTACCTGAATTACAACATTGCATGCTAACCAATCAAAAAATAGAATGCTTCCAGTAGAGATTAAATCTCTAACGTTACATGAAGACCTAAAATCGGAGCCAAAAATAAGAATTAAACCGTGCATGACAGTACATAGTGTTACAGATATGGAATTTGGGCCCAAGCACTCATACTTCTTTCCTTTTCTGTTTATTGTGCGCAAATCGCACCTGATGTTGAAAACTAAGTTTTACTAGATAAATGGCGAGAGTTCCGAGAAAACGCGTTTCAATTACAGTATTATAATTATATTTTTTAAAAAAAAAAAGTATAAAGCGAAAGCTCTTTACACTGTTAATAAAAGTTCAAACTTCATTGTCATTGTTTAATTACGATAAGAATCAATTTCTCAGGTGTTATGTAATTACAACAGCTAAAATTAGAGTGGTCAGGGTTCTGTAACGACAGAACCTGCGCAGAATTCGGCTCTTTGCTGCGGGCATAATAATCAGCCATTAGTGTCTATTGTGATAAAATTTGATTTCCTTGTTTTCTTTCTGACTTTGTTTTTTAATTTATGCGTCAATGCAGAATCTGCAAACTTAGTACTAAAAATTCTTAAAGATAACTTTTAGTTAGTGCACAAAAAGGAATTTAACAATAACAATTCTATGTTACTTACGTTTATTTTCGGATTGGTTTAATGCTTTGATTGTGCCTAATTTTGATATTTGATTAGCTGGAAAATGTTTTGGTAACACCAGGACAACAAATTTGGAGAACAGTGAAGACGAATTATTCGAGTGATCCGAACACACATTAGGATCAGTATGTACATATTTGTTGGTTTGTTGGTTTGGTCTTTTTTCTTTTTATATTTCTATTTTAAAATCTAATGATGCAAAATTTTCTGTTCAATTCTTGTGATATAATTACCGTTCGTAGTTACGTAGTTTTTTTGAATAATGCTCAGAGCCATATGTTTGCAAGCGAGAACTCTATATTAGTGCTGCCAAGGAAGAACTTACAAATTTATCTGTATTGAATCTAAAACTCTGGAAATTGTGATGTGGTGAGAATGCATAATTGTAGGGTCGTCTAAAGCGGAATAGAGTCATGTGACATACGACCAATCAAATTATAGAATTTGCCGATCGCAAAACAAGAAAGAAAAGCGAAAATACAAAAAACAACAGTCTAAGATACCTTGGGTAAGTTAAATAAAAATGTCAGGAAGGCAATTTTGCATATATAACTATCTAAACTTGCCTTAACCTAAATCTAAGATGACTCTAACCTTAAAAGTTAATTCAATAAAATATATATTATAAGAATCTACTCCGCTTTAGACGTTCCTAATTGTAGCAATTATAATTAAGATCAATGCTCTAATCCTTTTAATATTGTATATGTGTAAAGGCGCAAACCGGATCTGCTAAGTTGTAAGCTGGTAAGGAGATCGGCTAAGCCGAGCTAATTGACGGTGTTATGATTAATTCGTACAGTACGTAATATTAATGTAAAATTAGCATTAAACTTTTTAGGAAGTGTTAATTGGGATATAGATTTCCTAAAATAGTTATCAATACTGAGTATTTAATTTCTAGAATTAGTCCTTAGTCCGATGGATTCACATTCATGAGTAGATGGTGTAGATCCTTAGATAATGCGATGTCTTTCAATGACACCCGCGCATGTATATACCATATAACACTGCTTATACGTAGTATCTAAAAACTGATTAGTACCGTGGGTACTTTGTATAGTTCTGGGTAATAGTAGAAAGGGATAAAAAAACTTAGATAATGCTATTTTGTAATTTCAACTAGTGATTTGGGCGAAATCCGAATTTGCAGATCATTTGCAGATCATTTGCAGATCGTAGGGTTTCGGACTTAGGGCGAAATTAAAATTCCTCTGGCCGAAATATTTCGGATTTGGAAAATAATTTCGCCAGAAACACTAATTTCAACACAAGAAAATAGTATCTTTTCTTTGTTTATTAAACTAGCTTCAAAAACTTTAGTTTTTAAAATTTATTAGAGAAAGCAATACAGTTAACCCTTCACATAGTTACCTTCATATAATCACATCATATGTAATCATATTTTTATTTAGGCAAACTATGATTGAATTTATAAGAAAAAAAACTTTATATAAGCACAACCCTTTTATAAGCATATTTTAAAATAATTCTATGTGCTCAACTTTGTGATTGTATAAGAGGATGACTATATTATAAGTTATTATTAATTAGTTAGCTATTTCTTTTTTTGATGTTAAAATATTTTAAATCTACTATTTATAATAGCTAGTCCTATCTATATAAATGTTTATTGACCTATACTTTTTATAAAGTGTTTTATACAGAGTTGAAAAAAGGTTTTTAAATTAATGTTGCTATAATAATTCATTTGATTAGAAGTATAGTTTGCATCTTTAACAATATTGGGTAAATTATTCTATTCTTTATGGGCTCTGACACTTATTACGTAATATCCATTTACTATAAGGGCTACCCCCTCCCCCACATAAGATCTATATAATTGGCCAATTTAGAAATCATATAATTTCTTTGTGTAATGTAAAATATTGATATAATACATGCTCAACCCCACCCTAAAATATTACGTAATAAATGTCACAGCCCTATTATTGTTCCTTATTTATTTTTAGTTTCTTGAAGATTTTATTGTCAGATTCAAATGTAAACAGAGTTTAAAACCAGTTTACGCAGTGAAACCTCAATAAATACATATTCTTGGGACTGAACTTTAACAACATGCATTTAGAAAACAATAAGAAATGTGTATTTATAGAGGTCATCACATGTTTAAACAAGAGGTGTGTGTGTATTTAGAGAGGGTACGCATTTATAGAGAATTAATTTATAGAGGTTTTACTGTTAGTAGTTCCATTACAGAATATAATAATTACCCCAAAAATTACAGTACACGAAACTTAAAGACTACACAAGCTTTAAAAGCTAATAACTTTTGATCTAAAAAAGTTATTTAAAAAAAGAAAGCCACTATTTTGTAGCTTAATCAATTTACTACAGCTTAGCGGTTTTATTTTTAAAAAAATTATAAATATATAGCTTTAAAAATATAGTATTTTATATATTCACTTATGAAAAAAGTTAAAATGGGAATAATAAAAAAATAGCCAATCAATTGTTTAAATTTATATAATAAAATTTTAACCAATCAAAATTAAGCAACTTTAAAGTTTTTTATTTTAAATTTTTAAAATAGGACAAATGTAGTCTTTAAGTGTCGTGCACTGTATAACCTATCACGTCAAATGTTACGGCAACATCACATTTTGAGTTACGTACTCCCACTTGACATTAAGATCAATTACGGCATTGGCATAAGTTTGCATCTATAGTTCGAAAACGTCAAAGCGCTGATCGTCTAATATAGTTACAGTGAAAACTTAAATTTAAGTTTGTATTTATAAGTTTCCTTTTTCTTTGCAGAATTATGCACACATATAGCCTAAATGCATAATCAGATCTTGTAAACTGAGGTTAATTAATATCAAAGCGTAAAGTAATTATATAAACTGATAAGAGCTTGTAAATTATAGGAAAACTTCGTCTGATTTGCAATTGCCTGGGTAACTTATTTATATACTTTAAAGTACTTTTGAGAACGTGACTTTCACTAATAAAACATACAACTTCTTTGCCTCGGGAAAGATCGAAACCTGAAGAACTTCATATATAAGAGTAAATACTTATCTATATATCTATTATTACTAGCATTGTTATGCTAGATTATATAAATAAGTACGAAATTGGA